GGAGCTAAATTAGCTTATATCAAGTTGAAATATCGATATTTTCACATTAATTCATTATTTTCTTTCACATAAAAATTTAAAAATAATTTTTAATAATAAAATAAATAATTAATTAAGCTACTAAGAAATATTTAAAATAATAAAGCTACCACTAAATTAGTATTAATGAAAATAAACTCAAAAATATAAAGATATAAAAACTAAAACATAAATTTATATTAAAACATTTTATTGTAGAAATTGTCTAAAATGAAAAAATTAAAAAAAAAAAGAATTTCTAAAACAAAATTTTCAAAATTAATATATAATATTTTTGGCATTTCTTTATCAAAAATAATTTTAGATATAAAATTAATCTATTATCGTTTATGGAAAATGTTATAATTGTATAATTTTAGTTAATATTTATTCTTAATTTTTATTAACTATATATCTTCTTCTATCAATATTAATTTATTATATTTATTCGATCTCATTATTAAAAAATAATCTTAGATATAAAATTAATTAGATATTATGTATGTAAAATGTTATAAAGATACAGACAGTTATAGATACTTATATATATATATCAAATTATACCTATTATTATTTAAAAGGTTATTTTCAAATTGAATATTTAATCTTGTTTGCTGGCATTTGTTTGCACTTTTTATCAAAAGTAATATTAGATATTAAATTAATCAGATATTATAAAAGAAAAATGTTTTAATTAGGTAACACAATTTATTTTTAACTATTAGATTATTCCTGTTCTTTATCAAGATAATATTTTCTAATATAAATTTAGCTTTTCCAATTTATTCGTTCTCTTTATAAAGAAATAATCTTAGATATAAAATTAATCACATATTTTTTATGTATGGAAAATGTTATATTTACACAACTCTACTTCTAACATTTATTAAATTATTCTTAATATTGCTATAAAGATATAATAGATATGTATAATTCTAATTGATCTCAGAGTTTAAATAGCCTCTTTTATAAAAATTAAATAAAATAGTATATTGTGAAAATAAATATTTTTTTATTACTTAATTTGGATTAGGTATCCATGTTCATATTAGCTTAGTATTTTTGATGGGTTATGGAAAAAAAGTATTTGAATAAAGAAAATGAGAAGTATAAAAATAAATAATAGACCATTTGAATTTAAAATAATTAATAATTTATATTTAAAAGTATATCAGGCAATTACCTATTCTAATAATTAGATGCTGAGGTAATTCAATTAATTATTATTCAAAAATCTTAATTACATTTATTTGTACTAATTGATCAAAGATCTCTTAGACAAAAGTAGATTTTCTTTTGATATGACATTCAATAGCAAAAATAACGAACAATTAATTATACTAAAAAACAGAAAATATTTGTTTATATTTTTGAATTAGATTGAATTATAATATTAAAAGAACGAACAAACAAAATAAGAATATTTTTTGATTTTTAAAAAGTTTTGAGAAACTTAATCTGCTGATCAACCAACAAAAACCTGATGTTAATTTTATATTTTCAATCGCTCTTGTTGTATTAATAAATATTTATTATAAATAATTAATTTTAGTAAAGTATAATTATAAGATATTAGGTATTCCTTTTAATGTGAAAGTTAGATGTCATAGAATTTATATTTAGAAGCATATCAGGGAATTACCTATTCTAATAATTAGCATCTAGCTGGCGTAATTAAATCAATTATTTTTCAAAAGTCTTAATTAAATTTATTTGGATTAATTTATCAATGATATCTTAGATCAAAGTTGATTTTCTCTTGATCTGAAATTCAATAGCAAAAATAACTAACATTTATACTAAAAATATAAAATATAATAATTTCAATAAGATTAGAATTATAATGTTAAAATAAATTACAAAATAAAAATGTTTGGCGATTTTTAAAAAGTTATGAGAAATTTAATTTATTGATTAGTCAGCAGGAAGCTGATGTTAATTTTATATTTTCAATCACTCGTTGTATTAATAAATATTTGTTTAAAATGATTTAGGATAAATATAAGGTATTAAATATTCATTTTATATGTGAAAGTTAGATGCCATATAATTTATACTAATTTAATAAAGAAAAAATAATAATAAATTAAATAACTATGCTGCTTAATCTTTTAACAATATTTGGGCTAATTTTGCAAAGAGTTTTAAGTGAAGAAACAATCGATGCTCATTAAGATATAAATAAATAATAAACTACTGTTAACTTTAGCCTTGGCTCTCCTTCTGCTCCACAAAAGTTGATTGTTTATTTTGGTACAAAAATATATCCTTAATTAGGATAATTTATAATAGATTAAAGCTATACTGAAAATAATGAATTTTATAATAATTAGATTTAAAATTATAAAATAACATTCTACAATATGAAAAAAAGCACAACTGCCTAAATTCTAGAGACTTTTGAGAAAGAAGACTAAGTGTATGACTAAAAAATATAGGGAGTTTTTGTAAATGATATGCTCTCCTATAATAAAATATAATCAAAATTTAAATTTGTTGCAAATTATCTTATTTAATCAAAACAATAAATTTTGCTTAAAACAATCAAAATTGTATCTTACTCTATATAATAATTTATTTTTTTATTAACAGGATATTTTATAATCGAAATTTTATTTTTGACATTTATTTATTTATTCTCTTTAATATAAAATCATCCTAGTTTAAAAATTAATAAGATAAAAAATTATGTATGAAAAATGCTTTTATATAATTCCTCGATCTATTAGAAATATAAAATAATTTATTGTTTTATTAACAGGATATTTTATAATCTAAATTTTATTTTTGACATTTATATATTCTCTTTATAAAAGAAACCATCATAGTTTAAATATTAATCAGATATTATGTATGAAAAATTGTTTGATTACTCAAATCTAGTTTATTAATAATGTTATATTAAATTATTATTATATTTTTTTAAAATTAGTATTAGATATTTTTTTGTACTTTTTATCAAAAGCAATACAGATATAAAATGAGTCTATTATCGTTTATGTAAAATTTTGTAATTAATTGCATAATCCAAGTAGTTGATTATTCTTAATTTTTATTAACAGATTATCTTCTAATCAATGTTAATTTTTAAATTTATTCGTTCTCATTGTAAAAATAACATCTAAGATATAAAATTAATCAGATTTTATAAATGGAAAGTGTTATATTACTATTATTAGTTAATAGGGTAATTTCAAAATGAATATTTAATCTTGTTTGTTGGGATTTGTTTGCATTTTTTATCAAAATTAATATTACATATTAAATTAATAAGATATTAAATATGAAAGATGTTTAAATTAGGCACACCTATTTACTATATCCATTAGATAATTCCTACTTTTTATTAAGTTAACAATTTCTAATAGAAATTTAACTTTTGAATTTATTCGTTCTCTTTATAATGAAATCATCTTTGATATAAAATTAATCAGATGTCATGTATGGCAAACGTTATAATTACACAAATCACCTCTAATATCTATTAAATTATTCTTAATATTGTAATAAGGATATAATAGATAGGCACAATTTTAATCAGTCCTTTAAATAGCTTTTTTACCAAAATTAAATAAATAATTTTTGTGAAAATAAAAATTTTTTTATTACATTATTTGGATTAGGTATTCATGTTGATATTAACTTAGTATTTATTATGGGTTATCAAAAAAAATTACTTGAATAAAGAAAAATAAGTAAGTAAAATAATAGACAGTTTGAATTTCAAATTGTTAATAATTTATTTTTAAAAACTTATCAGACACTTCCCTATTGTAATTATTAGCTACTGGTGTTATTTAATTAATTATTTTTTCAAAAGTCTTAATTAAATTTATTTGTATTTATTTGATAAAAGATGTTTTAGATCAAAGTTTATTTTCTCTTGATTTGATATTCAATAGAACAAGCAACTTACAATTTTACTAAAAAATAGAAAATATAAAATTAATTTATATTTTTAAATAAGATTTTTTATGTTAAAAAAACTTACAAAATAAAAATGCTTTGTGATTTTTATATAGTTTTGAGAAACTTAATTTACTGATTAGCCATCAAAAATCTGATAATAATTTACATTTTCAATTTTTCTAGTTGTTTATATAACTATTAATTCATTTTTTAAAAAGTATAAATATAAGATATCGGTATTCATTTTATATGTGAAAGTTAGATGCCATAAAGTTTATACTGATTTAATAAAGAAAAAAAAACCATAAATTAAATAATTATGCTGCTAAATCTTTTTACAATAATTGGAGCTCTAATTTTACAAAGAGTTTTAAGTGAAGAAACAATCGATGCTCGTTAAGATTTATTTTAATTATAAACCACTATTAGCTTTAACCTTGGCTCTCCTTCTGTTCCACAAAAATTGAGGGTTTATTTAGGTACAAAGTCGTATTCGTAATTAGGATAATTTATAATAGATTAAAGCTATACTGAAAATAATTAAATATATGCTGATTAGATTAAATATTATAAAATAACATTGTACGATATGAAAAAAAGTACAACTGCCTAGATTCAAGAGACTTTTGAGAAAGAAGACTAAGTGTATGACTAAAAAATATAGGGAGTTTTTGTAAATGATATGCTCTCCTATAATAAAATATAGTCAAAGTATAAATTTGCTTGCGCTACATATGGATAAAGCTAATATTTTTATTACAACGGGGTTATCATTTTTAATAGACTTGATGAAAATATCTTTGATTAAATGTATTAATCAAAATCTATCAGAACCAGCGATTATATCTTGAGTGGATCAAAAAGTTAAATACTAATTGACAATTTTCCATTTATTTAAAATAATATTCACATTACTTTTGACTTAGATAAAACTAATGAATATTACAATAATCCTTCCAATCCTCTTGTTAGTAACTCAGATACATTTTAAATTATGAGCTATGGAATTTACTTAAATCATGAGGATGTAACAGATAAGTTAAAAAATAAGAAAGTTACATTAGATTAAATAACTAATCACTCTAGTGATATAGACGAAACTATTTATCTTCCAAATGATCTTTTTTAGATTATGTAAAATTAATATAATTTACCAGATAGCTCATATTTCTAAGGTTGCGCATAATGCTAATGCTAAGAAGCTGCGAATTTGCCTGAGATTACTCTTATAACTGAGTAATACAAAATTATCATCAAACCTAGCTAATACATTAAGAGTGATTAATACGATTGTTTAATTTATTTAAGTGCAGCAGATAGTTTCGTAATTTCTTCTTCATTACTACTTCATACAGAGAGTAAGATTATGTATTAGAAATAATCTAACTCTATTAAAATAATCAATGGATAATTAATTAACCATTTGAACATTGATTGCATCATGGCCATATTTTCTACCTTTACTGGAATTATCACAGCCAGCCTTTCATATATTATTTTAATATAGCTACTTAATCTCAAATTATATAAATAAGAAGAAGAAAAGTAAAGATAACAACTAACTATTATTAAATTGAAAAATATGATTTGAATTATGCTCATAAATTTAATTTATAATTAAAAATATTATTTTAAAGTAAATATTTTTGTTTTTTGTATTGTAAAATAAACTTTTTATGAACTTCATAGATTATAAATTTTTGACTTTACTTATGTTTAAAAATTATTATTTTACATTATTAATAAATCTAATTTATATGTATAATTTAAAAGATTCATATTTGCTTAATTTAATAAGATAATTTAAGACACTATCGATTATTATAAGTTTTAATATTTTTGGTTAAAAATGAGGATTGATTTTATTTATAAATATAAAAATAATAATAAATCTATTTATTTATCTATATTTTAAGTTAAATTACCCTATTACAAAATATAATAAAATAAAACATCTTATATTTTATTTATCTAATATTTTTATATTTATTCAGCCTTTTTTCACAACCTGTTAATCATCCTTAGAAATTAATGGCAAAAAAAACTAATCTTTTTAATTTAAGGCACCTACTTTTTATTTTCAATTCTTATGATTTACTGATTTAGTTTCCACTTTTAATATAAATTAGAGTTAATTAATTAGAATTACATTTTTAAATTAAAAATTATATCTTAAATTATTAAATAAAAAAATAAATATTAGCAGAATAAAAAATAAAACAAAAATAAATCAAATAAAAATCTAAATAAATTAGTTAAATTCTTTTAAATATATTTTTATATTAAAATATTTCACAATCTAAGACAAATTATTTATTTTTACGTAAGATATATTGTCAAATTTTAGAGATTAGTGCAATTTACTAAAGCAGAGCTTAAGCCTGATGTGCCTTCATCGCCAATTTTATTAAATCTTTAAAATGTTGAAGAAAAATATAAAGTTAATTAGTTAGTTAAAAAAAAAAATGTAGAAAAAATACAAAATAATAAGAAAAGAATTAATAAACAAAAGTCAATAATAAAAAACTAGGTGATCAAGGGAAAAAACACAAGGAGGATAAAAAAAATAATAATTCAAATTAAAAGCTAAAACAAATGAAATGCTTTTACCCAAGATTTAGTATCAAATTCGAGAGATTGCTGCAATTTACTAAAGCTTTACCTAAGCCTAATGCACCTTCATCACCAATTTAATTGACACTTTTTAAATATTAAAGAAAATATATTATTTAGCTAGAAAAAAAATGAAGAAAAAATATGAAATAAATAAATTAGTAAAAGCTAAAGTTGAAAATCAAAAATCAGTTAATATAACAAAAAAATTTTAAAAAAAGCACAAGAATGAAAAAAAATCTAATAAATAAATTAAAAAATTTAATTGTATTTCTTAAATTAATTTTTATATTAAAATATTTCATAATCCAAAATTAAGAAACTGTTTTTACACGAGATAAAGTACCAAATTTGAGAGATTAATGCAATTTGCTAAACCAGAACCTAAGCCTGATGAACCTATATCACCAATTTTATTGTCACTTATTAAATAATGAATAAAAATTATATAATTAATTATTTAGAAAGAAAGAAAGAAAGAAAGATAAAATATGAAAAAATAAGAAATGAACAGATATTAATTAATAATAAAATAAAAAGTTAAAAATAAAAAAATGATTTTAATTAAATAAAAAAAAAATCCAGAATAAATAATTCAAATCAAATAAATAATAATAAATAAATAAATTAAAAGAGTTAATTATTTATATTGTTGAAATTAATTGTTATATTAAAATAAATCTCAATCCGAAATAAATAAACCGTTTTTACTAAAAATTAAGTGTTAAATTTTAGAGATTAGTGCAATTTTTTAAAGCAAAACCTAAATCTGATGCACCTATATCACCGATTCTATTTTCCCTTTTTAAAAATTGAAGAAAAAAATATAATTAATTTATTAATAACATAAAAAAAATGAAGAAAAAATATTAAATAAGTAAAAAGCTAACAAATAAATAAAAGAATTATTGTATTTAAATCTCACTTATATGTTAAATTATACAATAACCTAAAAAAAATAAACTGTTTTTACATAAGATTTAGTGTTAAACTTGAGAGACTAGTACAATTTGTTAAAGCAGAGCCTAAGCAAGATGCACCTTTGTCGCCAATTTTATTATCACTTAATAAATATTGAGGATAAAATAATAATAAATGGATTAGTTAACAATAAAAGTAACAGTTTAAAATAAAAGGATAACTTTTATTAACAAAAAAAAAGCATATTTATGAATAAAAAAGAAAAATAAATTAAATGAAAAGCCAAAAAATAAATTAAAAGAAATATATTTGTTCTTTATTCATTTATATATTAAATATATATCAAAATCCAAAACAAATACCCAAGATTAAGTATCAAATTTGAGAGATTAGCGCAATTTGCTAAAGAAGACCCTAAGCCTAATGTACCTTCATAACCAATTTAATTGGCACTTTTTACATATTGAAGAAAACATGTATAATTAATTAGCTAATTAGAAGTAAAAAATAAGAAATAATATGAAAAGAGTTCATTAGTAAAACCAAAAATTGAAAATCAAAAAATAAGTGAAATTGATAAAGAAAACGAAAAAAAGCTTAAGCAGAATAAAAAAGAAAAAGAAAAATAAAACAAATAATAATAAATTTATTAAAAGAGCATAATTTTTTAATTCATTTTTATATTAAAATATGTCTTAGTCCAAAACTAACAAACTGTTTTTACCCAAGATAAAGTGTTAAATTTTAAAGATTAGTGCACTTTGCTAAACCAGAACCTAATCCTGACGCACCTTCATCGCCAATTTCATTTTGCCTATTTAAATATTGAAGAAAAAATATATTATTAATTAGTAGGTTAAAACAAAAAATATTAAATAATAAATGAAGTTAATTAATAAAAAACAAAGAGTTTGAAAATGAAAATATTATTTGAAAAGCAAAAGAAAAAAAATAGAAGCATATTAAAAAAGAAAAATTAATCAATTAAAAATCGAATAAATAAATTAAAAGAATTATTTTGTTTAAAATTAATTTTATATTAAAAAATAAATAAACTATTTTTACTGAAGATCAAGAGTCAAATTTTAGAGATTAGTGCACTTTCCTAAACCAGAACCTTAGCCTGACGCACCAACTGCACCAATTTTATTGTCACTTTTTAAAAATTTAAGAAAAATATGAAATAATAAGAAATGAATTTATCAACAATAAAAGAAATAGTTAAAAATAAAAAAATGAGTAAATTAACACAAGCAGAATAAAAAGAAAAATAAAAGCTATAAATAAAATAAATGAGTTAATTCATATTAAATAATAATATATAAGTATTCAAAAATAAATAAGCTCTTTATTACTTAAGAAGCAGTATCAAATTTTAGAGATTAATGCAATTTGCTAAAGCGGAACCTAATACTGAAGCACCTTCATCACCAATTTAGTTTCTACTTTTTATAAGTTGAAGGAAAAAAATATAATTTACTAGTTAGCTAGAAAACAATTAATAAAAAATTAGAAATAATAAAGAATGAATAAATTAATTAATGATAAAACCAAAAGTTTAAAAAAAAAAAATGAGTTAAATTAATAAATAATTTAAAAAAACAGCAAAATAAAAGAAATCAAATAAAAAACGAATAAAAAATAATTTTAGAGAGTTAGTGATATTGCTTTAAATTCATTTTGCTATTTAAAAATATCACAATCCAAAACAAATAAACTGCTTATACCTAAGATTAAGTGTTAAATTTGAGAGATTAATACAATTTGTTAAAGCTTAACCTAAGCCTGAAGCACCTTCGTCACCAATCTAATTGACACTTTTTAAATATTTGGGAAAAAAAAGGTTAGATAGAAAAAAATTGAAGAAATATTATGAAATAATAAAAAATTAATTACAAATAAAAAACAAAAGTTGAAAATGTAAACTTGAAGCTAGAGGAATAAAAAATAAAGTATAATATCACAATCGAAAACAAATAAATATTTTTACTAAAGACTAAGTGCCAAATTAGAGAGATTTGTGCAATTTGCTAAAGCAGAACCTAAACCTGATACATCTTTATCACCAATTTAATTGACTCTTTTTTTAAATATTTAAGAATAATATAAAATTAATATGTTAGTTAGAAGGAAAAATAAAATTATAAAAACAAAAGTAAGAGGTGAGTTAAACATACAATCAGAGAAGAAAAAACACAAGTAGAATAAAAGAGAAAAAGAAAAATAAATCAAATAAAAAGAATTTTAATGTTTTTTTTTTAAAAAAAGATTTCTTAAAATCAAAAAATCAATGAAAAAGAAAAGTAATGCCAAAATAACAGAAATGGTAAATAAAAAAATCAAGAGTAGGGGGTAGCACCAATTATAGTGTGTAAATAAATACACTATAAAAAATCATAAAAATATAAATATTTTTTAAGATAAATACTGTATTTTATTTGTATAGAACCTTGAAAAAGGTTGTACAAAATGTATAAATTATTTTAAATTTATTTTTATATTTTAAAAAATTATTATCCAAAACAAATAAACAATAAACTGTTATTACCCAAGATCAAGAGTCAGATTTGAGAGATTAGTGCAATTTGCTAAAGCATGGCCTAAGCCTTATATACCAATTGCACCAATTTTATTGGCACTTTTTAAATATTTAAGAAAAAATATTTAATTAATTAGTAAAAAGGAAAAAAAGAAGAAAAAATATGAAATAAACGAATTTATTAATTAATTAGCAATAAAATCAAAAGTTTAAAATGAAAAAATGAAGGAAATTTATAAAAAAAGAGAAAAAATAACATTCATAATAAATAAGAAAAATAAAAATAAATCAAATAAAAACTTAATAAATAAATAAATTAATTAATTGAGCTAAAATTGTTATAGATTCATCTTTATAAAAAAATATTACAATGCAAAAACAAATAAACAATTTTTACCCAAGATTGAGTGTCAAATTTGAGAGATTAGAACATTTAGCTAAAGCGAAACCTAAGCCTTAACTACCTTCATCACCAATTTAATTGTAGCTTTTTAAATATTAAACAAAAAATATAAAATTAAATAGCAGGAAAAATGAATGAAGAAAAAATATTAATTAATAAAAAATGAATAATTAATTAATAATAAAACTAAAAATTGAAAATTAAGTTAAAAATATAAAAAAATATTTGTGTTAATAAATATTAATGAAAATAAATTTCTATTTGAAAAAAAAAAAATTTTGTAAATATATTTTTAATTAAAAAAAATACATTAATAATAATATTAATAAATTAAATATACTTCAAATTAACATGGAGAACCTCATGAGATTAAAGTGAAGAATTTAAAAACTTTTTTATTAATAAAAAAAATTTAAAGAGTATTAGAAAATAAATAAATAAATAATTACTTCTTTTAGATTATTAAATTACTTTTTCTATTGTATCATTTTTTTTTCTTTAAAAAATGCTGAGTGAATTAATTTATTTATTTATTGAATTTTAATTTATTAAATAATTATTAGGGTATTAAATTATGAATTTCCTTTTATTTCAAATTAATTTGAATAAAAAAAGCAAATAAACTATAAAAATTATAAAATATCAATTATAAATTTAATTTTAGAATATAGTTCACAAAAAAGTTAGTGTAAAATTCATTTTTAATTTTTAATATTTCTTTTTAAAACATATACTTTAAATTAAGCTTTTCTTGGTTTTAAAATTCCACTGATTGGATATATGAAAGTAATCAATCGAATTTGTAAAAATATATACTGTAAATCCTCATAAATTCTCACCAGCATAAATTTTGACTATATTTTGTGAATATTTATAATTGTATGCCTCTCACAATAAAAAAAATACAAAAAGAAAAAAATTAAAAATAGAGTTTTTACATAATATTTTAGTGTTGATAAATATATTTAAATTAATAAATAAGAAATGAAAACATAATTAATTAAAATTTTTAAGAAGAAAAATAATCAAAATAACTACTAAATTATTATTAAAATAAAGTAAATTTGAATGAATATATAATGAATGATCTACTTCAAGCATTTAATAATTTTTTCATAATATTTTTTATAATTTTTATATGAAAATTCAGGTTTTTAATTATTTTTTAAAGGTCTTCATCATTTTTTTTATTACTTCTCAAAGGTTTCTTTAGTTTAAAGTACTCTAACATAGTCAATATACATATATTTAGGATAATCACTTGGATTAGGTTCTGGTGTACCCCACAAAGCATCATTAATAATAAAGTATTAACTATAATTTGGGAGAATCAGAGGAGATTTAGTATTTGGATATGTGGTACCATTGACATTAGTTTTATAATGAATTCCATCTACATACCAATAGATTTAAGTTTCGTTCCATACTGTAGTATAAGTGTGATATTCAGAAAAATCAAGATTTCCAGTAAATTAAGATCCACACCCATTGCATTAGTCAGTTTTACCCCAGTGATAAGTGCCCCATATTTTAGGGTTCCCATTTGTACCCCATTGGGTGCTCATTTCCATTGTGTCTATTTCTCCTCCATTTGGCCAGTAGGTATTTTCTCCTATGCTCCAGAATGCAGGCCAGATAGGGTCATTTTTAACTATTTTTGAGAATAATATTCTAGCTTCAGCATAGCCATACTTGTAAGAAAATTTTCCTTAACTATCAACCCAACCAGAAGTATAGTTGTATAGTCTTCCACTAGGAATATACTTTTAAGGATTAAATCTAGTCCTGAGAACTAAATTTCCGTTTTCTACATAAACATCATCTGATTAGTAGAGCTACTGTTCCCAGCTTCCATGAGTCATGTTGTTGCGAGCAGTCCATATAGTAGTGTTTAATTTGGTACCATTGAAATCATCTCTAAATACTTCTACCCATTCTTAGTTTTTTAAAGATTAGACTATAGGAATGCCAACCTAATAATTAGAAGATTTAGTTTATTATAACACCCTGTTTAGTTTAAGAGAGTAATTATTATCTGCCTTTTCATAGATAATGCATACAGCAGCTATTATTATCAAGACGACTACAACCTAAGTAAGAAATTATTATTATTTATCTCTCATCAGTAGTTAATTTTCTTTTAATAAGCTAATTAATTAATTTATGTTTTTTATGAAATCGATCTGTCTTTCCATTATTTAAATTAGATTGAAATCAATTATTTAAAGGATAATTAATTAATTGACGCAATAATTTATTTTTACAGTAAATAAATCTAATTACACACTTATATAGTTGAATTAATATTATTAAAATCATTGGTTTTTTGTCAATTAATTATTTGTGGCTGATTTTAATTTAATATAAATTCAAATAAATAAATAGGATACCAATTTTTGTATTTTTTGTCGAAATTTGTTTCCTTACAGCTTTTCTTAATTTTATAATAATCCTATCAAATTCTTCATAATAGCCAATTTTCAAACCAGGTATCAATTCTTATCGATCGATCTCTAAATAATTATTAACCAATTTTCAACTGTTGATGATATTTTTTTATTATTTATTTTTTAATTTATTAAAATTATATATAATTCCTAACTTAATAATTTAAAAATACTTTATATAAATCAAATACTGAAAATTCTGAATATTTATTAAGTTTAAATACAGATTATTTACTAATTATAAATATGGTTTAGAAATTTAAAAACATGATAGCAATATCTTTTTAAAAATAATAAATCTCGCAGCCATCTAAATATTCTTTAATGGAAATGCAGCAGAAAATCTAATCTAACAATTATTATTTTTTTAAGAATAAATAAATTAACCACCCATTCTTGTTATTATTATCAGCTAAGAAATAAATTTATTTTTGAAAACAAAAATAGTTTTTAAAATATGTAAATTATCATAAATTGGCTTGAAATAAATTTATATGGTACATAAAATCATATATTGCAATTTACACTTTATTTAACTTTATTTAGACATTTAAAAATATTGTTTAAAATTAGAGATCTAGCAAAGAAGGCCCATAAAACTAAAGTTAATATAATAGTTAGATTTAATTCATTTATAAAGAAATGATTTGTGTACCATTATGTAGAAAATTTTTTGATGATTAAATTCCAATATTTTATATTAAATATAGAGCCCTATGTAAAAAATATTATGAAAAAATGAAAAATATCAGTAAAAATGCTTCAATTTTAAATTATTTACAGTAAAAAAACACAAAAAGAAATTTTATTGTCATAATGCATCAAAAGAAGTTTATTAAATGTGATATAAAATTAATTGTAGAGTTTATAGTTCTTAAAATAATTAAAATTACGTTGTTTGCTAATTTTGATGAGATATTATGACTTCTTAAATTAAATATTCAAGAAATTTGAATTCATATTTAAATGCAACAATTTTTTTTAACAAGAAAAAAATAGAAATATTTTCATTAATAATAATAACATTTATTTTATTTTTGGTGATAATTTTATATTTTATCAAGCTAAAATCGCTAAATTTTAAAAATTATTTTAGCTTTAATGGTTACAGGATAGAACTGTATGAAATATGAATATATTTTGAAAAATTCAATATTTTTCTTTCTACAGAACATATAATAATAAACAAATAAATTAACCAAATGAAAAGTATGTATTTATTTTTAATTTTTATTATTTTTTTGATTGATACAAATATCTTCCGAACGAGTGAGAAATCGAATTTAAATAAATTAATTCCAGAAAAATATTGTTACAATAGGCAAGGAAAATTGCAATATAGGTTGGTAGGGCTCCTAACTTAAACATATTAAATCTTAATTTTTTCCTACTTAATTGGCTTTTATTAATGAGTAATTAAAATTTAATCTTTACTTTACTTAATAATGTAATTTGTTTAAAGAGTGCCAATAAAGTTATTTGAAAAATTAAGTAAAAAAAATATTCACATTAATTAATTATTATTTATTTATTTATCATTTAATACCATTTATACTTAAATAGAGTCATATATATTAAATTAATATAAATATTTAAAAAAATATTTATTAAATTGGTTTGAATACTAGATTAGAATATTTTTAGATGAAATATTGCCTAATAAAAAATATTAGAGTTAAATTAAAATAAATATATTTGCTAATTAATAATATGTAACTTTATACTTGATAATTGATTTTAACATATAAATAATATTAATATTTAAAGTAATTTTATCAATGCAGTTCCAAGATATAAGACTTTCAATTAGTATTTATTATCTTTTTATATATTTTTTTAGAAATGACTTTAAATAAGCTTGAATTATTAAATTAATTTTACAGTTTGAGATAGTAATTTTATATCTTATATTTTTATTTAAAAAAGATTTTGAACTATCTTTATGATAAAAATTTTACATTTTTAGATAACAAACTATTATCTTTTATTATTTTATAAAAGCAGTTATGACTTAATATTTTATACACTTTAATTATCAACATTATAAATTTATGAAAAATATTAACTTAATAATTTTAAAGTATTCATCTAATTTATTTCCTCTCTTTAATCATATGTTTGTTTAAACTAATTTTTATGAAAATTTAGAATTTATTTATTTATAAATTACAAATATTTTAATTGTTTAGAAGTTCACGAAATTAATAAATTCCTAAATAACTTCTAAAAAGAGTTAAATACTTATTTTCTATTTGAAATGCTCAAAATATAAAATTTTACATGATATCAGAAAATTTAATAAAGAGAATGAAAAAAGGGTGTTTTTTTGCATGCCATATTTAATTTAAATTAATATCATGATTGACTATTATTCGAACTCTGATTGAGCTCTAATTAATTAAGCAAATTAGATAAAGAGAAAATACAATTTTATTATGCAATAAGAGGGAATTAATAATTCTAGATTATCAAATATCAGTATTTATATATGATATAGATAATTTATGATTTATGATTTATTTGCATGAGTAATTAATTAATAATCCAAATATTAATATTAATTGTCTATCATAAAAAATTGAAAGCACAAACTAATTAAAGAAACTTAATATTTAATAGCTAAAATTCATACTATTCATCTAATTAAAATTATAATAAAAAATACAAATTTGTTTAAGCAGGTTGCTATTTAAATTCTTAAGAACTAAAAAGTAGAAAATTTAAAGTCAAATATTATATTCAATATATAGCTAATCCTGTAATTAAAATATCACGAACTGAGTAGGTACAGATCGTGATATTTCATTTAATTTTTATGATTTAAAGCTAATTTTACACTTTCTATTTTTTAAATTATCATTTATACTTAAATAAAGTAATATATATTAAATTAATATATATATAAAAAAATATTTATTAAATTGATTTGAATATTTGATTAAAAGGTTTTTAGCTGAAATATTGCCTAATAAATAATATTTGAGTTCAATATTTTTAAAAAAGTGATAAAGTTAAAATATATTTGCAAATTAAAACTAAAAAAATATGTAACTTTATACTTGATAATTGATTTTAACATATAAATCATAATAAAATTTAAAGTAATATAATCAATGTTCCAAGATATAAATGAGAACTTTTAAGACATTTAAGACTTTGTTTAATGTAATTCTGAACAGAACTATTAGTTGAAGAACATTTAGTTTTAATAGCATTGCTAATTTGGGCATCTGTCGTAAGAGTATTATCATTGTAGACATCATTAACACAATTTTCTACTCTAGTCTTTTCTGTGTTACAATTAGAATCAGAAGGTTGACAAGGATTGCTGACGCTATTTAAGCATTTGACAACATCAGAAGCAGCAATAACAGTCTTCAGAGCAATAATAGATATTAATAGAAAAATAATAAATTTCATCTTGATGAAGCTATCTTTATTTTTTTATAATTGATTATATTTTAAATTGTTTATGATCTTTTTTCATCTAATTTACAAAAGTATTTAAAGAAAAATAAATGAACAAATTTTTGTTCAATGAGTTGTAATTAATTTATCTTATAGTTTAAAATTTTGTTGTATTAAGCCATATTTTATTTAGTTTATATTAAATTAGATTAGATAAATAAAAACTTAGACTTATCTAAAATTGAAATTTGCTGATATAATCTGCTTTAAAACTAAATTTATAATTGTTATTTGTAAGTTATTAATATTATTTGAATGTGTAATCTTAATTAATAAACTAAATGAATAATTTATAATTTTGTGGCTATTTTAATGCAAAAAATAAAATTTTCTAATCAAAAATAATTTAATTTGATAAAGTCTTTATTTTTGTTTTATAAACATAATTTTGAACAATATTTATATAAATCTTTTAAATTATGAGGCTATTTAATTGCAAATAAAATATTTCTTATTAAATATATAACTCTAATTTGAGAGTAATTAACATAATTGAGAGTCTTAAATAAGAAAATAATTGAGTATATTATAATTTTGTGGCTATTTTAATACAATGAACAAAATTTTCTAATCTATTCTAATCTTGTTTGATAAAGTCTTTATTTTTTATTAGTTAATATAATTTTGAACAATAATTAAATGATTATATTATTGAATTTAATTAACTTTGTAGCTATTTCATTACAAAAAATAAAATTTTCTAATTTAGATTTTTATGGAGTAGTTTTAGTAAAAATGAAGCTAAATTTTAGAAAATAATGGTAGTTTTTAAAGAATTATTAATTTACCTTATATTTAAAACAATTTTACAGAATATATTATTAATATCGCCTTTTATTTAAAAAATACTTTCAATAAGTATTTACCATCTTATTATGTATTTTCTTAGAAATGACTTTAAATAAGCTTGAATTATTAATTTTACAGTTTGAGATAGTAAATTATATCTTATATTTTTATTTAAAAAAGACTTTGAACAATTTTTATGATATAAATTTTACATTTTTAGATAACAAATTATTATCTTTTATTTTTTTGTAACTAATTTTAAAATAAAATGCTTATTTTTTATCTTTATAATTCATTTAATTTATTGATATTATAAAAACAATTATGACTTAATATTTTTTATACACTTTAATAATAAACATTATAAATTTATGAAAAACATTAACTTTATAATTTTCAAAGTATTTATCTAATTTATTTCCTATCTTTAATCATATGTTTGTTTAAACTAATTTTTTAAAAATATTAATTTTTATGTAAATTTAGAGTTTATTTATTTATAAATAACAAATATTTTAATTGTTTAGAAGTTCATGAAATTAATAAATTCTTAAATCACTTCTATAAAAATGTTAAACACTTATTTTCTATTTGTAGCGCTCAAAATATAAAGTTTTACTAATGTAGGACAATTTAATAAAGAGAAGGAAAAGAGAGTGTTTGTTTTGCTTGCCATATTTAATTTAAATTAATAGCATGATTGACTTAATTATTTGAAATCTAATTGAGCTCTAATCAATTAATAAGCAAATTAGATAAAGAGAAAATACAATTTTTTTATGTAATAAGAGGGAATTAATAATTCTATCAGTATTTATATATGATATAGATAATTTATGATTTATTATTTATTTGCATGAGTAATTAATTAATAATCCAAATATTAATATTAATTGTCTATCATAAAAAATTGAAAGCACAACCAAATAAGCACAAATTAATTAAAGAGACTTAATATTTAATAGCTAAAATTCATACTATTCATCTAATTAAAATTATAATAGAAATACAAATTTATTTAAGCAGGTTGCTATTTAAATTCTTAAGAACTAAAATGTATAATTTAAAGTCAATATTATATTCAATAAAGTATAAAGTACTTATGTAAAATTATAAAATATATTAATAAGTAAAATTAGTATTTATTAATTCTGTTTTTAACTTTCCATCCATTTCTTTAAACTAAAAATAAAAATCAAAAGTTTTCTATATCTTAATATCACATAATTATATACAGAAAACAATTTTTTAATTCTTAATTAACATTGATTTTTAAGAAAATTAGTTGTTTATAACGAATGGAAACGCTATATTTATAAATTAAATCATATAAATAATAGTTTATTAATATAAATTTTAAGATAATTAGTCATTTACAATGGCGTAAAATGAAAAAATTTCATTAGTTAAAAATAATGAATTTAAGAAAATTTCAAGAATTGTTTGTTTATTTTATATGTTTGAAACTAAAAGGCTACTTACATATTTATCATTCTGATATTAATTCATTATTATATTGATTTATATTTAAAATTTTTAATTTGAAACTAACTTACCATATATTCTAAAATAATATACTCTCAATATTTAATTAATTTTCTACTTATTTTTAAAATAAAATCAAAATCGTAAAAATTAAAATTTTGAAAATTTCAAAGAATTAATTTATTATTTTTCATTGTATTTTTGATGAGAAAATGTTAAAATGTTTGATTTTTTTTAGAATATTATGAAACCTATATTCTGATATTTTAAGTATTAATCAAAATAGTACATGTTCATAGATTTACTTAAATGTGTTAGTTAAAATGAGAAAACATTTTTTGTATAATAAATAATATTTAAGTTTAATTAACTAAATAATAAATTTAAACAAATAGATTAATATCTTAATTAATTATATTTATTAATAACATTAAAATAATATATTTTTATTTTTATTTTATATACTTCAAAAAAGGATGGAAAAAACTATTAAACCGATAAATACCATCAGTTATGATGCAGAGGATGTAGGTTTTATAGAAACACATTACGTTTTATTTTAGCTCGCATACAAATTTGTAGAACTACTACCATTTGCATTGCATATTTAACAATCTTCATCAGTCCAACCTTATTTTTTAGAACATGAACTTTTACTGTTTACACAAGCTGTACCATAAGAATTAGCAAATTAATTAGCTTTATTACATGAGCCGCAATAATTATCAGATAAATTTGTAATTGGTATTGAAGTTGCTAAACAAGATGTAATAAAACAATTTGTATTATCACTACTAGCTGTAGATTTAGTGAAAGTAAATCCAGTTGGGGCACTACAACTATTACAACTACCTCCAGTTTAGCAGGGTACTAGATTACCTGGAATGGATGGAAGAGAATCGATGCAGCTTTTTTAATCTGCGGAAGCATACTTTTTTGCTGCATTTGCAGTACCTGCATTGCATTTTTCACAATCTGAATCAAACCAATTACTTGTTCTAGTACAACTTTATTGAATGTTTAGGCAAGCTGTTCCTGCTAAATTAGCAAATTTATTAGATTTACTACATGAACTACAGAAGTAATCATTCAATCCTGTAGTAGGAAAAACAGTAGCTGAACAAGAAGTTACAAAACAATTAGAGCTATCTCCACTTATTGTGGATTTAGAAAAAGCGAAACCTGTAGGGGAGTTACAGTTAGAGCAGCTACCGCCAGTTTAACATGGAACATTAACACCTGCTGAAACAGTATTTGTACATTAAGTTTAATCTGAAGAAGCATAAATATTTGCTGAGTTTGCTCCATTTGCATTACAAATATTACAATCTTTATCATTCCAATTTTTATTTCTTGAGCAACTGGCTGAAGTTTCAACGCAATAAGAACCATAAGAGTTAGCAAAATAAGTAGCTCCATCAGCTGATTGACACATATAGTCATTTAATATAGAAAAGCCAACTGGAATATTAGGAAGAGCTTGTAATGATTAAATATAGCAATTTTTAGTATCTCCATTAGATTTTAACCAATTAAAAGCCTATGGACTACCACAAGTAATATAAGAACAAACACCATCTTTTTAGCATGGAGCATTATCGCCTACCATAGAAGGGGTACTTTAGCAACCATCTTAATTGCTATTAACAAATTAAAGGCTTCCTGAAAAGCAAGAAGCGCAAATAGTGTCAAATGCTTAGCTCAAAGTACCTATATTAGAACAATCTGCGATATAGAATAAGCCACCATCAGAACTAACCCAACTACTTCCGCCAGAAGTACCACACGATTTAGAATCATTAGACATACCACAACGAACAGGTACTCCAGGACTAGCTAAAACTAATTATAATTATACTGAAATGAGAGATAGAATGAAAATTTTTTAAAGCATTTTAATTATGTAGAATTTGTTTGTTTGTTAATTAAAATTTTTATATGGATTTTTGCCTTTTTTATATCTCATCTTAAAATACATGAAAGCTAATATGCTTGAATGCGTTTAAATAAGTTATCAATTAATTAATTTATAACGCATGAATAGCAATTTATCCTGTTTCTGAGTTTAGTTTGAATTAATATATTGATTTTTAAAAATTAAATTAAAATAGAAATGATCAGACAGTACGTTATAACCATAATTTGAATATACTAACGATTTTTTTTAAAATCAGGCCAGAAATTAATGTATTGAACATTTTTGAAATTTAATTCTATTAAATCATAAAATATTCCTTTTTAAATATCTTGATGTATTAATAAAAGAATATTACTAATATATTTAAAATTTAAAATTGTTGGATTTAAATAAATAATAGATGGTTGTAAATTGCCAAAATTTTATAAAGAAATTTATCATTTTCTTTTTTGCGGAGACAATTTAATTAGGCACAAGAACAAAAAATGATCTACTCTTAGCCAGCCAAAACTACCCTAAAAAACTTGATATAATTTATTTTAATTTTATTGATTCATAAATGTTTTAAAATTAAAAAAATAATAAAATTTATCATTTTTCTTTGTCACTTATTTTTAATAAGAATATATTAAATTTTGATTTACTTAAAGATATTTATAATTTGTAGACAAATCAATACGATTTATGCTCTGTAGGATATTTATTATACAATCAGATAATCATTCTCAACTTCTATTCAAACTAATCAAAAAACAAAGAAAAAAATTTTTTAATTGATTATAAAAGATGCATTAAATTTATTTATAAGAATTGAGCAAGAAAATATTTTCTCTTAAGCTGAATGAGTTACATTAGTACAAAATAATAACTCTAGCGCATTATCCTAAAAAAATTAGTGTTCAGATTTATTGGTAGTTTATTATTGAAGGCGTTTTCACTAAATTCCTTATCAAAAGATTTACCTATAGAAAAAAAAATTAAATAACATAAAATATCTTTAAGAATGATTTGACCATAAAATAAATTGATAAGAACTACTAGATATATATCTAAAATAATATAAAGAAAAATTAAAATAATAATATTTCACATCTCTAAATTCCTTTATGAAGATTTAAATGATAAGAAAGCAATTATTGAAAAATATTGAGCACATCCAATAATTATTCTTGTGGAAGTAGCAAAGTCAAATTTTATTGGATTTATTAAAATAAAGTAGATTAATTAATAAATTAAATAATATTATTTTAATTTTTATTATGTATTTAATTTAGGATATTAAATTTATAATGGATTTTTGTTTTATTATATAAAAAATATTTTTAATTATTTTAAAAGAAGATAAAAGAGTAATTTTCTATTTTAATAATGCTTAACCACAATAGTTAAAATAAAAAGTAAAATTTCATTTCTTCCTGAGGTTTTATATAAATTATGGTATCTATTCAATGTTGATAAATAAAAAAAGTATGGAAATATGATTGATGGATAATATTTCAAATTAAAAAAAACAGGAATATAAAAGCTTGGCATTTATAAAATTTATTAAGAAATAATATAACACTAAAAGATTCAAATTGTTTGATCGTTTTTTGAAAAACCATAGGGTTGCTTAGAGAAATTAATTTATTTAAGTAAATTAAATTTTTTATTTTTTTATTTTTTATAAATAAATTATTTACTTATAAAAATATGAATGATATCAATAAATATAAAATCAATTATAAAATCTATAAATCTATCTGTTTATCTTTTAGGTTAAAAAAAACTTTTTCAATATAAAATATTATATTATTCAAACATTTAATATTTATTCATCCTTTTTTCGTCACTTTTTTATCAATATCAATTTATTTCAAAGACAACTAATCTTTTTGATTTATGAATATTTCTTATTACTTTGAGTTTTGATGATCTATTCAAACGCCTAAAAGTTTTATAATAAATTTGAATAAATTTTTAATATATATCGAAATAAAATAAACTTTTAAATTAAAAATTTTTGTTAAATTAATTAATAAAATAGCCTTAGTGGTATGAAAAAGATAAAAAAATAAATTATATAAAAGCTATCAAATAAATTCAAAGAGCTTTATTGTTTTTAATAGTTTTTAAAATATCACAATCCAAAACAAGTAAACTTTTTTACTAAAACTTTTTAAATATTGAAGAAAAAATATATCATTAAATAGTTAATTAGAAGGAAAAAATGAAGAAAAAAGATGAAATAATAAGATTAATTAACAATAAAAGCAAAAGTTGAAAATAAAATCATGAGCTAAATTAACAAAGAAAGAAAGAAAGAAAGAACAAAAAAAAGCAGGCACAATTAAAAGAAAAAGAAAAAAGAGCTTTATTGTTTTTAATTAGTTTTTATAATTAAAAATATCACAATCCAAAACAAATAAACTGTTTTTACTCAATGTTAAGTGTCAAATTTGAGAGATTAATGCACTTTGCTAAAGCAGAACCTAAGCCTGATGCACCCATTGCACCAATATTATTGCCACTTTTTAAATATTGAAGAAAAAATATATCATTAAATAGTTAATTTGAAGGAAAAAATGAAGAAAAAATATGAAATAATAAGATTAATTAACAATAAAAGCAAAAGTTGAAATAAAAATAATGAGCTAAATTAACAAAGAAAGAAAGAACAAAAAAAAGCAGGCACAATAAAAAGAAAAAGAAAAAAGAGCTTTATTGTTTTTAATTAGTTTTTATAATTAAAAATATCACAATCCAAAACAAATAAACTGTTTTTACCGAAGGTTAAGTGTCAAATTTGAGAGATTAATGCACTTTGCTAAAGAAGAACCTAAGCCTGATCTACTGATTGCACCAATTTAATTAGACCTTTTTAAATATTGAAGAAATAATAAATCATTAAATAGTTAATTTGAAGGAAAAAATGAAGAAAAAATATGAAATAATAAGATTAATTAACAATAAAAGCAAAAGTTGAAATAAAAATAATGTGCTAAATTAACAAAGAAAGAAAGAACAAAAAAAAGCAGGCACAATTAAAAGAAAAAGAAAAAAGAGCTTTATTGTTTTTAATTAGTTTTTATAATTAAAAATATCACAATCCAAAATAAATAAACTGTTTTTACTCAAGGTTAAGTGTCAAATTTGAGAGATTAATGCACTTTGCTAAAGCAGAACCTAAGCCTGATGCACCCATTGCACCAATATTATTCTAACTTTTTAAATATTGAAGAAAAAATATATCATTAAATAGAAAATGAAGAAAAAAGATGAAATAATAAGATTAATTAACAATAAAAGCAAAAGTTGAAATAAAAATAATGTGCTAAATTAACAAAGAAAGAAAGAACAAAAAAAAGCAGGCACAATTAAAAGAAAAAGAAAAAAGAGCTTTATTGTTTTTAATTAGTTTTTATAATTAAAAATATCACAATCCAAAATAAATAAACTGTTTTTACTCAAGGTTAAGTGTCAAATTTGAGAGATTAATGCACTTTGCTAAAGCAGAACCTAAGCCTGATGTACCGATTGCACCAATTAAATTAGACCTTTTTAAATATTGAAGAAAAAATATATCATTAAATCTTAATTTTAGGAAAAAATGAAGAAAAAAGATGAAATAATAAGATGAATTAACAATAAAAGCAAAAGTTGAAAATAAAATCATGAGCTAAATTAACAAAGAAAGAAAGAACAAAAAGAAGCAGGCACAATTAAAAGAAAAAGAAAAAAGAGCTTTATTGTTTTTAATTAGTTTTTATAATTAAAAATATCACAATCCAAAACAAATAAACTGTTTTTACCTAAAGTTAAGTGTCAAATTTGAGAGATTAATGCACTTTGCTAAAGCAGAACCTAAGCCTGATGCACCCTCTTCACCAATATTAATTACACCTTTTTAAATATTGAAGAAAAAATATATGATTAAATAGTTAATTTGAAGGAAAAAATGAAGAAAAAATATGAAATAATAAGATTAATTAACAATAAAAGCAAAAGTTGAAATAAAAATAATGTGCTAAATTAACAAAGAAAGAAAGAACAAAAAAAAGCAGGCACAATTAAAAGAAAAAGAAAAAAGAGCTTTATTGTTTTTAATTAGTTTTTATAATTAAAAATATCACAATCCAAAACAAATAAACAGTTTTTACTAAAGGTTAAGTGTCAAATTTGAGAGATTAATACACTTTGCTAAAGCAGAACCTAAGCCTGATGCACCTTCTTCACCAATTGAATTAGACCTTTTTAAATATTGAAGAAAACATAAATCATTAAACAGTTAATTTGAAGGAAAAAATGAAGAAAAAATATGAAATAATAAGATTAATTAACAATAAAAGCAAAAGTTGAAAATAAAATCATGAGCTAAATTAACAAAGAAAGAAAGAACAAAAAGAAGCAAGCACAATAAAAAGAAAAAGAAAAAAGAGCTTTATTGTTTTTAATTAGTTTTTATAATTAAAAATATCACAATCCAAAACAAATAAACTGTTTTTACCGAAGGTT